CACTGGACATCTCTGGGACAAACTGAACAGTGTTATTAAAGATACAAAACATATCAAGTTATAATAAAATACAGACACTGTCACATTTTGGCATCAAAGTTTGTTCCAATGAAACCATATAATGCAGTCAAGGGGAACACAAATTTGGAGACAATCATGAAAATACATTAAAAAAATAACTGAAGTCAAGTTTGCATAATCATATTTCATCTCTTTGGGCTTGTGACACAAACATCTAATATCTGAACATAGTAGTTCCATCAAGGGAGGGTCCCCTGTCTTAGATGTACTGGCAGACAAGACAATAAATGACAAAAATATTTTTCAGAGCCATTACCTAATCAAATGTGACATTTGAAGGATGAGAAATGCTTCTCTATCTGTAGCACTTGGGAACAAACAATTAAGGGCATTGAACAAGACAAACTACATAGGCTCAAAATAAAAATATCTTTTAAAATGTGTAAAAAGCAAAACAGCAAATACTTTTGCAGGGCACTGTTTATATTAACAAGACTGTGTGCCATAATGTCACTGCAATGAATAAACTCACTGCAATCCTGCAAATGTATGTGTAAAACATGCCACTGCATGAAAAGAAGTGTATAACCCCCTGGGTAACTGACTTGGGTGACTTGATGGTTACTATTGAAATGAAAACATCTCATACTGGCCTATTAAAATACTAATTTACTATTGCACTGAGATGACATTTTTAGAATTTGAAATTAAATTTGGTTGGATAACCCAAAAGCAAATATGCAATTATTATTCTGTCAGAATGCCAAAAAAAACAAACATTTGAATTGAATAGATAGATGGATGGATAGATGGATGGATAGATAGATAGATAGATAGATAGATAGATAGATAGATAGATAGATAGATAGATAGATAGATAGATAGATAGATAGATAGATAGATAGATAGATAGATAGATAGATAGATAGATAGATAGATAGATAGATAGATAGATGAATGATAGATAGATGGATATATAAATAGATAGAGTGTGTGTGGGTTTTTATTTGTGCATGTTTGTGCACACGCCATATTTAGAGATTAACCTTTTGCGTGACTGGTGCCTCTTGTTTATAAACCTACTTTATCAAATGAAACTGCAGACAGATGGTACAAATATCATCAACTGCACTGAATCTTTTATCCTCTGAAACAAGGGAGAGTGAGAAGAAGAAAGGGAGATAAAAACCATAAGCGCTTGCCAGTGTGTGTGTGTGTGTGTGTGTGTGTGTGTGTGTGTGTGTGTGTGTGTGTGTGTGTGAGTGTGTGTGTGCATAACTGCAATTGTGCTGCAATATGTGCACTGCAGAGATTAAACACACATTACAAAGATACCACAGGATGGAAGCTTCCACCAAAGTGAAGACCTTTTTAAATAGATGTGAAACTAACGGTGGCTCTGAGTGCTCCACGCACTGCACCTTAAGAAAACACATGCTAATAGACAAAACACAAGCTCTGAAACATTTTATTTTATTTTGCTGCCATTTTATTGCAACAACTAATGATAAAGGCCTGTCATCCCTTTACTTGCGTGTCTGTCCTCATTATCTTTCGCAGTGTAAATAAATATCCTTTTAGCTCTGAGGGAATTCAAGCATAGCACTAATTAAGGGCCTCAATGAGATCAGTTTGAGGTCCGTTTGGAAGCAGCAATAAGCTTCTATCACTGCTGTCACATACTGCAGGGAGCAGCAAATACATGTGATGACGCACACACATGCACACAGATCATAGGTTTTGATTAAACCGCCTCAGATTACCACATTGAGGGTAATTATGTTGTTACTGGTAATTGTTATAAAGCTGTTGTGTGTGTATCAGCTGGTGAAACTCAGTGGTGGAATTATTTAGCGCACAACATTTACTTCATGCTGGATGTCTGGTGATAAGAGGCTTCACAACAACAACCAGAGACCTGATGGATTTCACACTGACAAAGAGGATTTGGAAGAGGGAAGAGAAGAGAGAGGGAGAGAGAGAGAGAGAGAGAGAGCGAGTGTGTGTGTGTGTGTGTGTGTGTGTGTGTGTGTGGGACATCTCTATCGCGGATTAGTCTCCACTTGATCCCTGGCCCTTTCTCTCTCTCACCTCTTACACATAAACACACACGCAGAAGCTGCTCCATGCCCTGGAACATGTCAGTAAAATATTTGAAAAGCATGACTCAGTCATGTCTGACAGTTCTTGTTTTTTAATGCTATTTTCATGTGGTCATTTCACAGAGAATAATCTAATGCAGTTGACAGGCTTGAAAAACTGTGTAATCTTGCAACAATCACCTGGATAGAAATCTTATCAGTTTCCACTTATATTTTATTATTGCTGTTTACTATAAATTTGATTTCTTGTACTACACAGTAAAACCAAAACGCCTTTAAAAAGCAATCTCTCTTGATGGTAAGCATCATGAAAAGAATTTCACGTTGTTGCTTTTTTACTACTTTGTTGACCGTTTATGTCGGCCAAAGCGCTTCTGACTGTATTTATGGTTGTTTTACTCTCTTAACTTTAAAGACCATATCATTGATATGACTGGATATATAAATATACATACTCTAAACTGTACCATTCCTGATACCAATTTTTATACTTAGCATAAAAGGTTGATGGGTTTGAATCAGGGCCACAGCATTTTCACACATTTTACAATGAATTTCTAGCCAGATCTGTATCACTGGAAGCAAAGTATTCACTGTTGTTTTGAGGTAACTGTTCCGCTTCTTGAAGAAGAAAATAAATAGGACCCATCAATTGAGAAATGAATACTGCCTCTGGTAAATTTCATTAAAAAGCTATAATTTTAATTGGTTTCTACATTAACTGCTGTAAATTTACTGCACCAGATTTGAATTTCAAATGGAGGCAGTCGCCTAACAAATGGTAGATACACTCAGGAATACCCTTTAAATATGTTGTTACACAAAAGCTTGCCTTTAATTTAAAGAACTAGCTTTAGAACATGAATCCCAATTTTAATATACATTCATCTGTGTGCTGCTGAATGATGCAGCTTGGCTTTACACATCCCTCCTGGCAGCAGTTATCCTTTACGATGGCACTAATATAATATGTGTATAGATCATTGCCTTATTTAATATTCAAGTGTGTTATGAAACTTGTGGTGAGTGCCAAAGATTTCTCTTTGAGCTGCCCCCCCCCCATAACAGCCTTAAATCTTTGGCATTTCCATATTGGCTAGAATGACTGAATCTCCGCTTGTGGTAATATTTTTGGACTTGGTTTAGGCTGAATGCTTGAAAATTAAAGGGTGGCCCACAGAGATCAACGTGTACCATACAGCGAAGTGAGAGACCTCTCAGAGTTTTCAGGTTATCTACTCCAGTTAGGAATAGCTAAGGGTCAGCAGAACGGCAAATAGAGGCACTTGATTAACTTCCTGTCAGGAGGCGAGCTGCCACACACTCTCTCTGGGCATCATGAAAAGTTACACAAACTTTTGTGACACCGGTTCATTAGCAAACTTATTGCATTAATTTCAATTAAACCAGCAGACATGTGTCAGGAGACTCTTACTGCTCACTTCAAATGCATCTCAAACATCCAATTAATCAGTGAGACTTATGCTGATTTTAATTTTGATTTACAAAGCAGAATGGTTCAAGGGTACGCCTTTGTTTTGGCTGTTGCTAAAACTATAAAGCCATGTTCAGAAAGATTGAAGGACAAATTAAACATCTGACCCATATATGTACGTGGCCAAAAGTCATCCCAAAAAGACATTTCTTTCTATTCTATTCTGTTCTATTCTATTTTGTTTGCTTTTTGGAGCAGACATAAATTACCCTGCATGGCTGGTTGTGTGTGCGTGTGTGAGTGAGTGAGTGCGTCTGTATGTGTGTGTGGGATTGCGTGTGTGTGTTTGTGTGTGACGTGGTCTTGGTTTGAACTTTGTCGGCTGCACGCACACCCTGGCTCTGTGCTACAGGGAAATGTGGGCGTTGTGTCTGCCAGGCCTCTTACACTTGGCTTGTCTACATGCATTACTCACACACACACACTCACACACATACACACACAAATACATGTGTACACACATCGACAAACACACATATTTACCACTAAGACACAGACATGCCCGGGCATTCAAACAAAGTCACACGCACACACACACACACACACACACACACACACACATACACAGGGGAACAGAGTCCATTGAGGATTTCATCTAGCTAAATAGTTAATATGCAAACTGGCCAGGCCTGCCAGGCTGCTGGCGGCATGATAACATTAGGTTCTGTAATTCACACACACAAACACACAAACACACACACATCTCAACACTCAGTGTCTCTCTTACTTCATGGGTCTTCCTGCTGCAGCCTGGCTCATGGGACTCTAATCTAATTCAGAGTTGTTCAGTCATGTTTATTGAGGTGACGTTAATGCAAGGAGCGCTGCAGCTCACTCTCACATAATAATCTCTCTACAATCTTGCATCCAGTAGATGGCCTCATTGTGCCTCTGTGTGCATGCCTGCTGGCAAGAAGTTCATCACAGGCCATCGAGGCACCTTCATTTTTTAGCTCCTCTTTTCTTTTTGTGACTTTACAGTAGCGATATGAGGAGAGTGTTTGACAGTGTAGGACAAGTCTGAAATAAAGTACAAGCAGATAAAGGGAATTTTATCACTGTTACTGTAAAAAAAAACAAAAAAAAAACTTTATGTTTATGATTTAGCCTGTTCACCAAAGTCACCAAAATCTGGCACCAACTGGGAATCAGATTCCAGATAGAAATTTGAGAAAAAAAAAAAAAAAAAAAATCTATTTAGATTTTACCATATTAAAACTTCCAACAGTTTTGGCACGCTGCCATAGATTTTGCTCATAAAGGTTTTTGCCATCATAAATCATGTGTCTGAACTCTCTTTAGTAAACAAAAGGTGCGCCGTGCAGTGAGAATTTGGCTGGCTTCACCCTCCACAGCCTCCCTGGATAGATGGAGCAGTTGTGGCAAAGACCGTGGCGCACAGCAGCAGGCAGCAGCTGAGCGGAGAGAGAGGAGCGCGCATGGAAAACGGTCTTGGAGAGACCAGAGTCATTCCCATCACTCTCCGCCGGCCAGTCAGACCGCAGACACATCACAGGGTAACTGAATGTTGCACAACAAAGGAAGAGATAAAAAAGGAAAATCATAAGGACTGATAAAACACCCGAGGACCGTCGCAGCAGGGGGACTTCCTATACCTCCTTCACATGGTACCAAGATACAAGTTGGATGTATGCCGGAGAGATGTGGATTTTGGGGGACTGAATGATTTCACTACTCCGGAGTTTCATTTTGGATTCAGTTATTTTTCAAGCCACCCCAAGACGTTGCTGTGGGTCCCGAGCTGTCCACATCCACAGAGCGGAGCGCACGCTGTCTAAACATTTTTAGAAAACAAGAAAATTAACTGCGCCTCTGTTTCAAAGACGTCAACCCCAGAGATTTTGCACTGCCAGAGATCATTTAGGTGGGTGGCCAAAATAACTCTTGAATGTTTATGAAAGCTGAGGGGTCGTTTTGCTGCGTCCACACAAATGGGCACGCAAACTAAATAAAAAGGGGGGGAAAAAATGACATCGCATCTGGATTATAGCGACATGTCAGCATAAAGAAAGAGCCGTGATATTGATGCGCTTTCCTACATACGATGAATAAAACATTTAAGATGCGTTTCTCTGATATGAAAATCGACTGTTGAGACTTTTGAATGATGTTTTCAGCCTAATCTTTTGGCTTACCGCTCAGGTGGAAACGTTGGCCGGAGGCTGTGCCATGTAGTGACAGGGAGCTGCATTCAAAGAAATAAAATAAATAAATAAATAAATAAAACGCAACACCTAGCAGCAGGGGTGGATGAGCGTCGATACAGGCACCAATATAATCACACGGACACGCCTCGAGGATCATTAAACAAATCAGATAAACGCAGCGCGAAAACCATCAATAGAAGTTATTGATGAGGCGGTATATAAGGCTAATGATTGGCCAAGCCTCTGTTTACTGAACAGCTGGGCAACAATATGTTGTGAAACTTTCACTGAGGGCTTTGACAGCAGAGGCACACAGTGAGGACTTTTAATGTAATTTTTGTTTTTTTTGCTGCTGCTATTCATGACTACATCTCTGACTGGAAAGATAATTGCAAACAACAGCTGGAATACTCCTCATCCTCTTCAAACTAGAATGTCTGCTGCCTGTACTGCTGCTGCAGGAATTTTTAAGGGGAACCTTTCCGAAGAGATCTTTTTGCAATATTTATAGCAGCTCTTGTGTAAGGATGGTGGTTGTGACAAGGAGCCTATGGATGACCCAGTCCGTTGGAGAGCTGGTGCCGAGACAATTGACCTCTCCACCAGCCACTCCATCCGTCTAAAACTCCTCCCCAGAGAGGCACAGCTGCTTCAGGCTGGGGATGTGATGGGGTGACTGTTGACACCCCCCTCACCCACCCCCTCTCTCACTTTATTAGCAGTGTAATATAAACAATGGATCAGAATTTCTCAACGGTTCGAGATGGCAAGCAGCTGCTACCCGAGAAAGACTCGTCCAAACGTGTGCTGACAGGATGCTTCCTCTCCCTCCTGATCTTCACTACGCTGCTAGGCAACACGCTTGTGTGCGCTGCCGTCACCAAGTTCCGACACCTGAGGTCGAAGGTCACCAACTTCTTTGTCATCTCGCTGGCCATCTCTGACCTTCTGGTGGCTATCTTGGTAATGCCTTGGAAGGCAGCAACCGAGATTGTGGGGTTTTGGCCATTTGGTGCTTTCTGCAACGTGTGGGTGGCGTTTGACATCATGTGCTCAACTGCCTCCATCTTGAACCTGTGCGTGATTAGTGTCGACCGTTACTGGGCTATCTCAAGCCCATTCCGCTATGAACGCAAAATGACCCCTAAAGTGGCATGTCTGATGATCAGTGTGGCATGGACCCTGTCCGTCCTTATCTCCTTCATTCCTGTTCAGCTTAACTGGCACAAAGCTCAGACCACCAGCTACGCAGAGCTAAATGGAACATACCCAGCTGATCTGCCCCCTGACAACTGCGACTCAAGCCTTAACAGGACCTATGCCATCTCCTCCTCCCTTATCAGCTTCTACATTCCCGTAGCTATTATGATCGTCACCTACACCCGGATCTACCGTATTGCCCAGAAACAGATACGGAGAATATCTGCCCTGGAGCGGGCAGCAGAGAGTGCCAAAAACCGTCATAGCAGCATGGGGAATAGTACGAACATGGAGAGTGAGAGCTCATTCAAAATGTCGTTCAAGCGAGAAACCAAAGTCTTAAAGACGCTCTCAGTCATCATGGGAGTGTTTGTGTGCTGCTGGCTGCCCTTCTTCATCCTTAACTGCATGGTTCCGTTCTGTGAGCCAAACTTGCCGGACGGTGCTACGGACTTCCCCTGCATCAGCTCCACCACCTTTGATGTGTTTGTGTGGTTTGGCTGGGCAAACTCCTCGCTCAATCCCATCATCTATGCCTTCAACGCCGACTTCCGCAAGGCCTTCTCCATCCTCCTGGGCTGCCACCGGCTCTGCCCAGGGAGCAACGCCATCGAGATAGTCAGTATTAACAACAACATGGGTGCCCCTACCTCAAACCCCAACTGTCAGTATCAGCCCAAGAGTCACATCCCAAAGGAGGGCAACCATTCAGCCAGTTATGTGATCCCCCACAGTATCCTGTGTCAGGAGGAGGAGTTACAGAAGAAGGATGGATGTGGAGGGGAGATCGAGGTGGGGATGGTAAACAACGCCCTGGAGAAACTCTCCCCAGCCATCTCTGGGAATTTAGACAGCGATACTGAGGTCACACTGGAAAAGATCAATCCCATAACACAGAACGGACAGCATAAAGTCGTGTCATGTTGAGGAAAGGCAAAGATGGATCTGAATACACTGAGGCAAGTATGTATGCACAAAGGGAACAGCAAAATAAACAAAAGAGACAGACATTTGAGAACATGCCTGACAGGGAAACAGTGAGTGCGATATACAGGACCTTAAGACTCTCAACAAAAATCTACATGGGAAAACCTACAGAATGTTTTAAAGTAAAGGCACTTTATCCTGGATATAACTATCTGCAAAATACTTTCAGCATTTATTGATGAAATTGACACATTTGATGATAAATGTTGATAATGTGAATAATAAAGCAGAACACTAGCTGTGTGCACATGTATACATTTTTTTATATTTACAAAGATGTATACATATGCATGTGTATACTGTACAGTACTGACACAATCCTGCAAGGACATTAACACAGTATATACAGTGGAGGAAGATGTAGTAACTATTAGCAAAATGTCTCGTAGGTAGGTGCTTTGTATGTGTTTCATGGAAAAGAGAAAAATGTGGGTAAATTGGCTTTGGTGCAGTACAATTTAGTTTATTGCAGTTATCTATCTTCAGTACATCATTAATAACTTTTTTTTTTGCAAAATCAAAACACCTGTATTGCAGTGGGAATTCATTTGAGTTAAAACTGCTTCAAACACCAAAGGAACAATGATTCAAACGAAACAGGCAGGGGGCAGATAATGGAGTTCAGTACCATAAGCCAAGTTGTCATACCCATTTTATCTTGCTGTGTCTTCAGATTTATATAAAACCTGATATGTCCAGACTCAACTGACCTGTGTGTGAGAGAGAGAAAGAGAGGGGGATAGAAAAAGTTACTCCTGTGGTTTTCTTTCCTTTCCCTAGTATCCTATTATGATCCTTCCCCAGTCATGCACACCTGGGACAGATCAGACTGGCTCACCTGAAGTTTCCTCCATTTCTTCTCCTCACTCCTGGTTTTCTTTAGCTTTGTCTCCCCTCCCTGCCACTCTTCAGCAAACCCTCTCTAGGGCCCTGCGGTCTCCTCTCTTTTCCATTTTCCTGCTCTCGTTTCCTCAGTCAGCAAAGTCCCTTTCTCCCTCGTGATGCCCCTATTTCTTCAGCGTTGTCAACCTCTTCCCTCCTCTCTCCTCTCCACCGTTCCACCAGTCAGCATGGTCGTCTAAACCTGCATCACATCTTTCTTTTGTGTTTTTCTTTTTCTGTCTGCCTCCTCCTCACCATCTCCTTTGGCAGCCCTCCCAAGTCCTTACTCTGCCTACCTAAAGTGGCACTAATGATTCTATTTTTGGTAAATGCCATCAGTCCATGATTAAAAAAGAATGTAAAAGTGTAAACTAAAACTCCTGCACTTGGACAGAGGAGGCAGAGCAGCAGCAGAGTTCACTCAGCCGTAATGCGAGTGACACTTAGTGACCTTTTGCAAACTTGCAGATATCTGATTTTGTAAATTGCTCATGCTGGGAGCCATGCTGTGCTGTAGTAGCGATGTGGAGCATGCAGTGTGACAATCGCTCTGTTTGCAGGGGTGGAATCCAAGACAAACCACCATGATGAGGATTACCTTCAAGATATTGGACATATTTTTGTTGCCTCTCCTCTCCGTGTAATTCATTTTTGCGCTGTTGCATTTTAAAAAATACAGACACAGCAAAAATTACAATTACAAATTAAGTGTTGAGGTTAGTCAGAATAAAATCTTTTATAAAAGACATACTCCTAATGAGTTCCTAGTGATTTTATACCACAGATTTGCTGCAAAACAAATTGATTGTGTAAATATTTTACAGTTAGATTAGAAAAGATAAGAGTTTACAATTGATAGCTTCACAAGCAAGGCTGAGTTTAAAGACTATGTAACATTTGCCTTATGTTGGCCAGTGTGGGCAAATTGCCAATTATCGTATGTGTTAATGCTAAAACATAGTGGAATACTACAGTGATCAAGTCTGCTGTAATGCCCGTTATATGACTGACAGCATGTGCTCAATCGACCTACAGTTTGCTAACATTAGCTAACATTAGCCACCATAAGCTACTAGTCATACTCGACCAAGTAAGGCTGTTGCAGCAGAACTACTGATTGTATTTAATCGTATTTTATTGCTTATGAATTGGAAAATTGTGTTATATCTTCTTTCAAAGGCAGTATAGTCTTGCTTTTATGTATTTGTACTAGTTTAAATGAACATGAGGACAAAGCATATATTATGAATGTAGGAAGAGGGGTTGTCTATTTGTAATTTTTATCTATAATTTAAAGAAGAATTCATTCTGTGAAAGATATATGTAGTTTGCCCTTATTTCTATAGGTTGTTTTAAATTAAATTGTATATTTTTCAGAGTATAAGTAAATGCTAAATCTATGTGTTGTGCCACACATAGATTTAGCATTTACTTAATACTCTGAAAAATATACATAGAGCCAGGCATAATTAGTTCAAAGTCTACACAGCTAGTTTTCTGTTGAGTTCAGTGTTGCTGGGGAAAGAATGCTCAACAGCATGCTTTCTGACATTGTATGCTGAGGGTCCACTGTGTGCTGTGTGTGTCCATGAAGGCGTGAAACTGTTGCACATCAGGGAAAGGAAGAGCTGATCCAATAGAAAGCAATTGGTCTTGAACGAAGCATTTGATTTTCCTGCTCTGGAAAATCCAATGGCAACAAGGGCAGGGGGGGCTTTAGCTCAATATGTGGCTTGGCTTGTGACACAAAAGCAACTCTTTGTCCTCTCTGCCTCCCTGTCCTCGGCTTTTGCTGGTTGCTGCTCCATCAGTTTAAAATGGACACTCATGAACCGGAATTTTGATTTGCTGTCTTTAATTATAAATTAAAATTTCCATGTTCTCACATTCTTTTTCAAGTGCCACAATATAAAACTATATATTTTTATTATTTTATTCTAACTTCCCTCTTTAGTCTGAGCATTTTAGAAATTCTCAACCATATCAGTTCAATCTCCCTGTTCTCTCCTCATCAGTTCCTCTTAATTTACTCCCTAATTATTTCCAAACACAAGCCATCTGAAACATGTGATAAAACATGAACTGCACATAATCTGTCAGGATTGGACATGGAAGGGAACTGCCTTGGGGAAGATTTGTCCCCTCCCTGCTCCTCCGCCCCCACCCTCTACCCTCCTTTTTCTCTATCTCTCTCTTTTCTCTTGGCTGCCTCTGTCGACTTGATGAGCGTTCCCAATGTTAACACAGATTGAATTTATTATTAAACAGACAGGACCTACGGTTTCCCTTCTGTGGTTTGAGTCAAAGCGTTGAATCAAAGCCCCACCTGGCTGTTTATTGTTATTATGATTATTATTATTATTATTACCATTTTAGTATTGTTGTTGCCAAAATTCCAATTTTTGGCTGAATGTGGCTGTACTGTATTTTATGCTGTGATTTAACCAGTGTTTTATAAGCTGAAACTTGGGGGGGGTACTCTTAATGATATAGAGATTAATCTGCCATTTGTTGTGACATCATTGGCATTTACAGGTTTACCAGATGTTTTTTCATATATGTATGTACACATTTATAGAAACATACCTCCAGCTGAGAGTTGAAATGTTCGTTGCTGTATTGTGGCTCCATGTAGAAAACCCTTGAGCCCTCACCTTGTCAACTCGGTGAGTCATCTTTCCAGATGCCGCTGCTTTGATTTTGGAGAAGGGTGATGTCAGGCAACAGTCCCACAAGCAAAATGTTTTGTTTGATCCGGAGCATTTCCTCTAGGCTGCCCTACAAGTTGCTTTGGGGAGCTATGTTGACAGTACACGGACTCTCAATCAGTGTAGTTACTTGACGTATGACAACTTAAGCAAATCTGACAGTGTAGATTCTCTCCTCTTCCTCCGATGGCGGGCCAAGGAACGTTGGGCAGATGTTGGGCCAAACAACACTCCCAGAGCCTGGGAATGTGGAGGCATTTTAATGATGATGTTTCAGCTTACTTTAACTGTCTAGGGAAATGATGGAGTCCCTACCTCGACATCGATTCAGTGACAAAGCTTCATGTAAAAATTACATTGCAGTATTTAGGGTTGGGAAATGTGCAGGGATAGAGTATTGTACAATGATGTTCAAAATGTAGTCGTGATGAACACAAGTGCTTTTTATCTTCAAAAATCCTTAATGTGTGTAGCAAACTTACATGCTGTATGTTTTCTCCAGTGTGGGATTATAATTTACAGTAAGATGCAACAGTCACTGACTATTTATATATTTATTTATTTACATGTTTCTGGTGTTCATTCATGAAAGTGATGTCAAAGATTATAACCCTCAGAATAATTACAGTATTTTAGTTTACAGTTTGTACAAAAAATGTGCCCTTCTTGTAAAATAAACATGTATGTATTTTTTTTTTCATCTGTGCCCACTGAGTTATGTTTATTTGAGAGGGGTGTGTGGATGTGAGTGGTGTTGTACCTTTGACACTGGGTGGGTATTGGAAGATCATGTCGCTGCAGAGGATCGATGGAGATTGATTTTGAACAGTGACGCATATTTTTTTCCAGCTCCCTGAGCGTGGTGTCCTCGCAGTGTTCCTGCCTTCGCCCTGCATTTACATAACCTGACAGCCTCTTGACAGTTGACATGTCCTCTTCCTCTACTCTCTCACCCACCTCATTTGTTAACTTAAAAGTGGGCACAAACACATACAGGCTCATAAGCACAGGGGGTAACATCCCAAGAGCTAAAACCCACTACACTAAATATTACATCTTCGTTATTGCTGCTAATGTTTGGGAAATAGGTTGCACGTGTCCCTTTTAGATTACTTAAACAATTTTTCAAAATGTTCCTTTTGGACTTTGTATTTAAGTGTCTGAATTGGATTTAGCCCACAGGTAAGAGGTCCTCGCCTTTTTATTTTGCCTCTATAGAAACTAGAATAATCAATAAACTCTTTTCAGCTCACTTGGTTTGAGCTTGTTTCATCAGCCTTTTACTTGAAGGCAAAAAAAATTAATCAAAATCAATATGGTTTGACTTGAAAAAAACCCACAACCTCCAAGTTAAACTCGCTGGGTTATACTTCAAAGCATCGCTTTACATATCCCTGGTGAATTAAGCAAGGTAAGAATCAACAGCAAACAGATTAGTTTAGTGCTTAATCTCATTTCACACATCCGTGAATTTGCTTTGTATAAATTAAGTAAGGGTCAATATATTGAAATTGGGAAATGTAGCTTAAAATTAGTTTCATCTACAGTTTTCTATTTGTGTTAAAATTTTTGGGCAGTCTACGTTGTTGTTCGAGAAAGTCTAGAGAAAAAATACAGAGACAAGACTGCAGTGTCCCCTTGGCTGACCGCTCTGTAGCTGCCAGTGCTGCTTTAACTAACATCTGTTTGATTTTGTATCACACACACACACACACACACACACACACACACACACACACACCCACACAGACTCTCTCACACATAAATAATTTCAAAATGAAATTGTATCCTGACAGGAGAGCTCACAACTCAGGATTGAAATAAAGGTGTCCATTTGTATCCAGCACATTACATACATGTGTAATGTAAATATTTCCATGCTTTGTCCAAATTCTTTCTGTCATGGGTGATGGGTACAGATAATACTAATTTAGTTTATCTAGTGCTTTTAATTTGAAATCCCACCTAACCAAGAGTACATTCTCGCAATGCAAAGTGGTCACAGGAGCAGTTGGTTGATATGTGGTATGTTTGCACAAGCCAATCAGGTTTTCAGATGCACAGACCACCCTTTGGACACGCCCTGACATAGTAACAGATCTATATGTTCTCTAAAAGGTTTGCGGGCCAAGCTTTCTATCCAGTTTAATTGGCCTTCTTCTGAACAACATTTGCTGGAGATGTTGAAAAGAGAAAACCTCAAACCTTAAAAAAGATTTATTGTGGTGTTCGGAGGCCTAATCAATTTCTTCAACTGCTTCAACTGATTAAGGCTGGTGAGATGCTACAGCAGAGTGGTATGTGTACAGGAAATAAAGCTATCAGTGAGGTTATGTTATTCACAAGTAATGGAAAACAAGTATTCCTATTATTTCGGACATACTGGCACATCCCATATCAGCCGTGTGTATTGATATTTAACCTATCCTGATCCAGCCTGTGAGAGACAGAGGCAGGAGTGGGGTCACAGTGGAAATACAGTCAAGGTTAATGATAGACTGCAGGCAGCAAAATGCAACATAGTGTTGTTCTCGTCTGTGTGTGTGTGTGTGCATGCATGCACACCGCTGTAATGCGCTTATGTAACTACACCAGCACTCATTCGGCTCCTTTGCTCATTCCAAACTTAACAGAAGCAGCAGGCAACATCCTTTCGAAAAATCCAGAGCCCTCTGCATTTGCTGATAAAATTGATAGAGATGGAACAGTTTAAAGTCTAAACTGAGATAATATTTTATTTTAGAATTGTGGGGAATTTAGTTTATGGACATTTGTCTAAGCAGAGCCCAGCGAGTATCAGGGCTTAAATATTTGATAAATTGTGTGCACAAATTAATTATTTCTACCCTCAAATGAATAAGTCTAAAATTGCTAAATGAATTAGCTCAAATTAGTACAGTCAAGTTATTTTAACTAGAGGGGGGCTGAATTTACAGGCTGTTGCTGCTTTGGTCAGTCAGGGAGGAGCAGCCATCAGAGCATTATCAGCAGGCAAAACAGTTCAATGCAATCATTTCTATTAGTCCTTTCCCCCTCAACACTTTCTTTCTCATAAAATTCTGATGCTACTGTGGGCGTTATCTCCGCTCTCCTTCATTATTATCTGCTGGATTCGTTTACACATGCTGCTGCATGCAAATTAAACAGTGAAGGTTATCAGGTCCTGTACGATCTGTGAGCCATTTGCGTTTAATACAGTTTGATATGAGACTTTAACATGTAGGCTTCAGGTTTTGGCTGCTTAATGCATATTAAATAATTCATCCCTGATACCTGCTGGGCTCCATTTATTTCTGATTACAAATACTTGCGATAGGTTTAAACAATGAAAACTACAAAAAACTTAAACCGTAATTTCGATAATGTGGTTGTGAAGTAGAAGATCACAAATACTCTCATACATCCTTTACCATTTCTGTTTCACAGAGTTCCCTGAAGGACATATGTTTTCCTCTGTGATCTCTCTGGCACACCCAAGACCTTTCTGAACTGCTGATCTTGATTATGCTAATGATTCATGATTTTAGTAACAGCCTTGTATACCAGCCGTCACCCATGGGTCCTGGGTTTGATTTTATTCATCTTATTGCATCTTTTCATTTAATTCATTGTAGTCAAGCATCCATTTAAAGGAACATGTCCTTGAGCTGCGTCTTTACCTCCGTCTCTGCCAGCAAATTCTCAGAGGCCTTTTTGACAGCTACTTCCAACATTACTCAAGTACCTCTGTTCAACACTGAGGGGCTGGGGCTTTTGATCACTTTTATAGCATCTGCTTGACTCTTCTGCTCCCTTGAGGAACAAAGAAAATGGAAGAATTATAGCCCTGCTATGGTTAGGTGACACCATTACAATGCTGTAAAAGTTGTAACATTGAAATATCATAAAGTCTTAGGGATCTGAGAGTGACTCTGACCTTATTCTGAGGAACCACAAACAACCGGTTAACAGAATCACTTCAGTAATATTGATTCAGGTACGAGCAGTGACTCTGTTTCAAAGTTGTGAACAAAGTCTCCCCTGACGAGACCTCACCGTTAACAGCTTGGCTGTGTTGAGCTGTTTTGAAGCCATAGGTCAGGGGTGCCTTACATGAAGACCTCCATCTGTACCTTGCATATTGTTTCTGTAGAGTTCCCCCCACGTCACATGTTTAAACTTTCTTTATCCGTAGTTTTCAGAAGTTGACTGTAATTAGATTTTACAGAATTTGAGTATGACATGCAGCTAGGCAAGATTCACCTTTTGCAGGCTTCTTGTTTTCCTCAGATCAAAAATCACAAATTCTGTCATGAACCTTGTTTTGCCAAGCACACACTGTAACTGTAACCAAACAAATTCGCAAGTCTGACCGTAAAAATATCGCACGCTTATACTTAATTATACACCCAATCAACTATATAAAATTGAGGAAAATTTTATTTATTTTTATTCCAAGTTTTTCAGACACAAACTTAGAAAAATGTATCAGTGTCATCATATTCACAGCCTAAATTACATTTCATAGCTCTCTGCTGATATTTACTTAATTTAATACTAACTCAACCTCTCCTATCATCTCCTGTCCTCTTGTCTCCTCTCCTTTTCTCTCCTTCCAAACATACCCTTGACTTCCTTTCTCATCCTTATTCTCTATCTCCCCTCCTCTCTTTTCCTCTCCATCTCTGCAAGCAGTGAAAGGACTCACAGTCCCTCTGGTGTGAAGTGCTTTATCTCATCAAGAAATGGATCAAGCTGGGCATTTTTTATTACTTCACTAAGACGGCTTCACTCAAGCAATACAATAGTAAAACATTAAGTAGCCTATTTCTTGAAAAGAAAGTTAATAAAAACAGACACTCTTTCAAAATAAAAGTCATTAAGCTACACTGAATAATAATAAAATGTGTCACATTACCAAAACAAAATCCTACCCTGGGGCTAGTGAGAGGGGTTTCTTTTACATTTTGGATGATCTGCAAAAGACGAAAGAAGTGTCTCATAAAGAGAGTTTAAGTAATCACAACATGTCACATGTGTGAACAAGTCTTCTTTCCCTAAAGAAGAAACAAAAACAAAAAACATCGTATGGTTCGAATGGCAGCTGCCCAGCTTTTTCTTTATTATCACAGTGGCAAATCCTATCGAGTCTCTTGAAAAGACAAGGACAAAAACAACTTTTCACATCCTGGAAAACTGAGGGCAGAAGGAAGCCCTCTATCTCTGTAAACTCTGGTTTTTAGGAGGAAAGTTTTACTGTCTTGTTATGATACTATGTTTTATTCATGCACACACTCTGCTGCCTTTCTCTGCCATGTCTAGGTTGTACCCTCGCTTGAAACATGGTGAGCCCATGCAGGTTGCTTTCCGCTCCTCATTATCATACTGTCACAATGCTAATGTATGGTCTTTCAAGTCACATCAGCTCTCTATTCTAACTCTATTTCCTACCAACCTTTGTTTTTGTGGAATATTTTATTGCTTTGTCACTGAAAAATAATGTTTTCATATCAGCTTTTGCCATCTGTGTAACTAGTATGTGTGTGTTTTCCCTCTATTAACACTATAACTATAAAACTTAAACCTTATGTATAAAATCGCTCAAGCAATAACTTACATACAATTTATTTAGTATAACATTTAACTTGCAACATTGAAGATGAGCATGAAAGTAAGTTCAAAAACAACTAAAATAAAATAAAGACACATTTACAGATATGT